GACGGTGCGCACGGCGCTGCGCGCCCCGGCCGAGAGCCTGGCGCACGCCGCCAACTTCCTCGACATGCTCCTGCAGGCCAACGACATCCGCGAGGCCAGCCTGGCCGAGGACGCCGAGTGGTACCACGCGCTCGTGCGCAGCCTCGTGGCCGGGGACCCCCGYGTGTACCGCGCCGTGCTGGCCTTCGACGCCCACCCGCTGGCCGCCAAGCCCCGGCTCGTGCTGCAAGCCACGCAGGAGGGCGCCGAGATCCTGCTGCAGGACCTGTCGGCCGCCGCCGGGCACGGCAACCTCAGCGCTGGCATCGGTAGCGAGCGCTGGCTCGAGGCACCGGAGCCGCCACAGGGTTTTGCCCTCCGCAAGCGGCTCCTCCGCAACGACCTGCGCAGCCTGGAGACCCCCAAGTGGAGCCGGGGCGACGGCTACGTGGGCGACGTGGGCCATGTGCGCTGGTCGCCCCCGTTCCTCGAGTGCCGCGACGGCAAGTTCCTGCCCGCCTGGATGGTCACRCTCTCCTCCTCCTTCTACGGCCTCAAGCCGGACCTCAGCCCTGAGTTCAAGTAAGGGGCGCTTGGGTTTTGCTTTGGGCACATTCCGGATCCAGATCGATCCATAGGGCGCCCCAGGAGCCAGGCTGGGGTCCCTGGGTGCTGCTGCATCCCCAGCACAGCTTGGAGCGGGCTGGATTTTGCCCCCAAATTGCAGCCTGCCGGGGGGCGCTGGCTCCGCGTGCGGGCGCCGGGGCTGAGCGGGACCCTCGGCAGGGGCATCGTGCGGCTGGATGTGAAGCTGCAGGACGTGCCGCTCGACCCGTGCGCCGCTGGCCCGGGCTGGCTGGGCGCCGCGCACCGCTGCGACCTCAACAGCACCCAGGTACCGCGGGCGCTGCGCTCGTCCTCATCCTCACCCGCTCCGCGGCCGGTCCCGCTGCTCCCGCAGCTGCTGGGGCCCCGCAAATCCACCCTGAAAATCCACCCACTCCGGGCTGCGGGAGACACTGCCCTCTGGATAAGGGGGCTATACGGCTCCGACCTCCCGCTTTGTGCCGGGAAAAGCCCCATCCCTGGCCAGGGAGCGAGCCCAGAGTTTTTCCTTCCTGCAACTTTTCCTCCCCACCTTGCAGTTAATTCCCACCAGCAGGACGTGGATGCACGTGCCAAAATGCACAGGCATCCTTCTGAACAGCAGGATTCCCAGATGAGTCCTTCGGAGTGGAGACCCTCTGATGCTCCTGTGGCWTTCCCAGACATCCCAAGCCATTCCATGGCATTCCCAGCCATCCGAGAACATTTCCAGCCATGCCAGCTGCCTGACAGCCCCAAAGTGGCCCTGACTCTCCCTTTCTGCCCTTTCCCATGCGGATTCGGCGCCAGCCGCGGGTTCTCCGGCGGGGATTAGTGCGGCAGCCGTGCACCGGCCGCTGCCATCGCGGCGGGGGCCGCGGGCAGGATTAGAGCACTCTGCTGCATTAGGTGTCCATTTAGGGTTTAGGGGGGATTTGCAGTCCAGGCTTTTGCTTTTAATGCTTAAATGTTTAACCACTGCTTTGCAAGCAGCGCGGGGCAAGGGGGGCACCGGCAGCACCCCGGGGTGCTGGGGAGCCCGTGCCCAGAGCCGTGTCCTTCAGTGTGTCCCGCAGGAGAGCCGCGGCTTCGTGCTGGGCAGCTACGTGTGCCGCTGCAAGCCGGGCTTCTACGGCGCCGACGGCAGCGCCGGGACAGGTGGGCGCTGCGGGCGCCGTCCCGCGGGACACGGGGCACGTGCCGGGGCCCCGGCGCTGACCGCTGTGCGCGCAGGCGGCCGGGCCGGCGCGGAGGCCGGGGGCCGCGTGGCGTGCCAGCCGTGCCGGCCGGGCTGCACCGCGTGCCGGGACGACGCGCCGTGCGTGGCCCAGGAGGACCGGGCGCTGCGCGCCGCCGTGCTGGGCTGCCAGGCCGCCTGCATGCTCGCCGTCTTCCTCAGCATGCTCGTCTCCTACCACTTCCGCAAGAGCAAGGCAAGGCCGTGGACGCTGCACGCGGACGCTCCCTGCGGATGCTCCGGCACCCGCGGGCGCCACCCTGCGCTCCCTGCTGCCCTCACCGGCCCCTTCCTTGCTCCCTGCAGCGGATCCGGGCATCCGGAGTTATCCTGCTGGAGACCATCCTCTTCGGCTCCCTCCTCCTTTACTTCCCAGTGAGTATCCGGCCAGCCGGAGCAACAGCCCCGTCCCAGCCCTGCTGCTTGCCGGGACCCCCGGCATGGGGCAAGCACAGGGACAACTCGGTCTAATAGTTAATGGCACTGGCGCCATCTCCGTAGCCCAAATCCCTTTCCTCCCACTGGAGTTAATCCCTCTCTAAATCCCCTCTCCCTCTGGTGYGATCCTCACCATCCGCCCTAGGAGAGGGGGAAAGTGGGGAGCATTTCCCCCGCGGTTCCTCCCCACGCTCTCCTGCCTTCCCAGGTGTTCATCCTCTATTTCAAGCCGAGCGTCTTCCGCTGCATCGTGCTGCGCTGGGTGCGCGTGCTGGGCTTCGCCATCGTCTACGGCACCATCACGCTCAAGCTGCACAGGTAGCGCGGCGGCGGCACGGCCGCGGAGCACCCAGCCGGCGCCCCGCGAGCTCACGGCCGCGCTCCGCAGCGTGCTC